TGTAGTGACATTCTTAAAAATGAACAAAAATATAATGAGCTTTCTTTTATTTAGTTCTTAATAATAATTACAAAAGTCTGAAGCTATAACAGCTTTAGATAAAATTCTAAAAGTTAGAAATATTTTGCAAAACATATAAAACTATTATTGTGACACAAGATATGCAAATGTATGTTCTTCTTACTGTTTTGTTTTTGTTTTTTTTTTCACTTTGACATAAGAAACACAGGTCTGAATAGCCAGTTATTCAGGAGTTCAAAAGAATGATCTGTTGAATGATAAGGTTACGAGATTATAGGACATGTGTGATAACTGTCTAGTAAGAGCACAGATTTACTGAAATTATGCTGAGTTAATTTCTGTAAATAGTACACATATTATAAACCTATATACTACCTTACATTCTAGGAAACCCAAGAACATACAAGCATATATCCATTAGCCATCAAAGCAATGATGTCACCATATTTTGTCTTTTTTTTTTTAATTTTATTGTTTATTTTTGAGAGAGAGATAGAGCATGAGCGGGTGAGGAGCAGAGAGAGAGAGGGAGACACAGAATCCGAAGCAGGCTCCAGGCTCTGAGCTGTCGGCACAGAGCCTGACGTGGGGCTCGAACTCACAGACTGCGAGATCGTGACCCGAGCTGAAGTCGGATGCTTAACCCACTGAGCCACCCAGGTGCCCCGATGTCACATATTTTGTACGGTGTCTGTGGGATTCTGTTGTATACATGTGAAAGAATACGGTATTAAAGGCAAATTACAAGTTACACTATTTGCTTTGACTTTGAGACCCCCCTTAAAAGGGATCTTGGGGAATCTGCAGACTCTTACATCACATTTCAAGCTGCTGCTGTATAAAATTCTATATTCTGTAAGTGTTTCAATTTCATTGACACATGGCTGTAATAAAATTCTTTGTCCTTGGGTTTTCTCTCCCCTCTGTTAATTGTTCCTTTCAAACAGTAGATTGGCAGAAATAAAAGCATTAAGACAAATTCAGAATGTGGGACATCCAATAAGACAGTTGTCCAATCTCTTCCAAAGTTAATGCCATGGGGGAAGGTGGGAGAGGGGTGTTGTAGAACGAGAGACTAGAGGTAAAGGTACAGAACAGCCAAGAGAAATTGATGGGCAGAATTTTACTGGATCCTGGTTTAAGAAGAAAAAAAAAATAGTAAAGACATTTTTGAACATAAGTAATGTTTTAATATGAAACAGATACTAGATGTTATTACAGAAGTGGTGTTCATTTTCTTATGTATGATAATGGTACTATACTTAGACACACGTTCTCATTTTTCGGATATGTACGTTGCAGGTGAGGGACTGGGATGAAGTTTCATGGTATCTGCAACTATGAAATGTTTCCTCGAAAATGATCTATGAGCCTATTTATAGACACAAAGAAAAATGGGTGAACTGAAGGTACATAAAGATAGCACAAGTGTTAAGAGTGGCAAATCTAGGTGGTGGGGATACAGGTGATTCTTGAACTATTCTTTCAGTCTTTCAATTTGTTTAACTTTTTTCATGATAAAAAGGTAGTTAATAAATCAAATATTATTAATATTATTCATATCCATATCACTATCAAAAAGACTATAGAACTGTTTTGAAAGTTGCATGAGGCATTTTCTAATAATGCGACTGTAAACCATACCAGCCAGTGGATAAGTGATGAGCTCCACGTAATTTAGAGGGGGATTTTCCAACTTCTGTCACTTACGTTGGGTGGTGCCACCTCAGGCCAGCTCTCAAGGGCACACTTGTCAAATCTGTAAAAGGGGTGACAATAACAATGGTGATTTCAGAAGGTGGTTGTAAAACAAAACTTTATGTTCTCTATAAAATGCTTACCCCAGTGCCTGGCCAATAGGAGGGACTCAAATCTCGTCTTGTATTATTGTCTTTGCAAATTGCAAATTCCAAGTCCTTACTTGATTCCATTAGAAAAACCAATGGCAGAGCTTTACAGGCATTAAATCATCTCTATTACATTACATTCAAACACATTCTATAACTTCAGGCCTATTGTAAGTCCTTAGGGGAATCAGCAGTCTTAATAGATGTGTAAGAATTACTTGTAATTAGCATGAAGATTGTTATAATAAATTATTTTTCACTTAAAATATTCTTCTCTACTGTTGAAGCATTTTCTGGAAGTTTGTCCTTATAATTATTTTGCCTTCAGTTTTCTAAATCATAAACAACTTCATCTTGAATTTTATGTGCAAATTAGTAGAGTCTACATGAATGTCTTTTGATGTTTGGGGGAAATTTAACCAACATATTTCATGGGTAGAATTCCAAATTATGAATATCCTCAATTGTTTTGTTCTTGGTGTTGAAGCTCTTGGTGAACCAATAATTCTTAGAAAGGAAATTAATCCTATGAGAGGCGACGCCTGGGTGGCTCACTTGGTTAAACATCTGACTCTTGATTTCAGCTCAGGTCATGATCTCATGATTCGTGGGTTCGAGCCTCATGTTGGGCTCCTCACTGTTAGCACACGTGCTCTCTCTCTCTTACTCTCTCTCAAAATAAATAAATTTAAAAATATAGTGTTTGTAATGATAAAGGTCTTAGGATTTTAAAGATAGCTACAGAAGTATATTCAAAGCAATTTATTAAAGTGAAGCCATTTGGTTTTTTGTCAGTTGCTCTCCATTTGGTTAAATTTAGAAGTTCCCCAGTGGTTACCATTTTTTCACAATGTTTCTTCTTAAAAATCAGCCTTAATCTTTGTTGGTAACAAATGCCACTGAATGCTTTGAGACATTTAAAATTGTCAAAGATTAGGATAAGCATACAACAGAATATTATTCAGACGAGAAAGAAGGAAGTTCACATTTGCAACATGGCTGGACCTTGAAGGCCTTAACGCTAAGTGAAACAAGGCCAGACTGAAAAAGACGAATACCGTATGCTATCACGTGTATGTGGAATCGAAGTAAAAAGTCAAGGTCATAGAAACATTGGGTCTTAACGTGGGTGTGGGGGGCTGGAGGGTGGAGACAGGAAGATGCTGGTTAAAATGATACAAACTTTCAGGTACAGCTTAGGATGAATAAGGTCTATATCTAACGTATCACATGGTGATGATGAGGGGTAACACCGTGAAATGTGCTAATGGAGTAAAACTGCAAATATTTTCCACCAAAAAAAAAAAAAAAGATAAATACGTGCGGTAACACGCGTGTTAATTACCTAGATGGGATGAGCCCTTTCACGATGTGTACATGTATCAGGATGTACACTTTAAATATCTCATTCTATTTGTCATTTATACCTCAGAGCTGAAAAAAAAAGCACAGTTGTAAAAGGTATTTAAAGTGCCCTTCCTACCATTTAATGTTTATGTTTTTGCTTAATGTATTATGTCATCAAGCACATACTAATTTTTTTTTTCTTGTGGACAAGAACTCTCCAGAACGTGGAATTATTATGGTATGGATTGGCATGGACATAGCATATAGTTCAGATAAAGTGGAGCATAGAAGAGACTACAGGCTTGTCTAAGGAAGGGAGCCAATTATAATATGAGGAAAACTCGATTGTAGTTTGTGGTTCACACCAATACCCACTGGGATAGAAGCATTCTGATCACCCTTCCATCTTAGGAGATGCTGAGAGATAGCTCATTAAAAGAACAAGGAAGGGGTAGATTTTTCCACCTGCATCACTCATGGAAATAGTTTCCTCTGTGTTCCTCTGTTTCTGTGAGAAGTTCCATCCAGCTGCTGAAATAGACTGCCTTCTGGAAATTAAAACCCACACGGCTAAGACCATAGCAGTAAATCTGGTGGAACAGATGGGCCTGGGTGAATCGTTCTACCTCTGAATAAAGACCTTGGGATGTTGTCAGTAGGCTTTACACTAAGTAATAGGAATCAGAGGGACAGATGAACGGTATGCTCTGATTTCTTTCATTGTATTGTTCTAACCAAGCCTGAATTATTTGCTAAGTCGAATATCAGATACGCAAATGTAGATGCACTCATTATAGCCTTCTATTTAAGCATTGAAGTATGATTATATGAGACTTGAGTTCTGTATCCCAGTTAGGCTTTCCAGTGGAGTTTCAAGAATGACATGTTGATGGGCGTGTTTATTTCTTTTGAAGTCATTACTATTTCACATATAAAAGAACTTTTGTTGGTCTGTGCATTTAGCATCGCTCCGTATTTTCCTTTGCTGGTCATTGGGTGGAAAAATTAGAGAAGGAGGAGGTAAGGGAAACTAATATTTTCCTGGCCTACTGAGTCTGGCTTTTTTTCTCCACGTCTGATCTGCTCCTTATCATTGTCCCAGGATGCCTTCACACATCCCTGCTTTCATAACTTTGCTCTACATGCACTAACGTGTCGTTGTTTGTAAATGATGGGAAATACAGGAGTTGAATAAGACAGATAAGCTGTTCTTATTTTTGTGGAATTTTAATTCTTGCAGGGAGAATACCCCAGAACAAATCCCTGATTAAATATCTAATGACTGCTAGAGCAGGGGATAAAGAAGCTCTCAGGGGGAGAACCTGACCTGGCTGGAGGGGGTTGGGGAGAGAGCAAGCTTCCAAGGTTGTTGAATGAATGCTTGCAGGTGTGAGTGTATCATCATTCAAGCTGTGTCCTAAAGAATGAGTAGAGGTGTCCTGTAGAAGGGAGTGTGCGTCAGTGTGCGCGTGCGTGCGTGTGTGTACGTACAGAGGGACCTAGAGAGGAATCTGGTGAGAGAAGACTGGTAAAGAAGAAACTGTTTTTTCCCCCGTTATAGCCGAGGCATCTATAATTATAAGTGGGCTTTAACCTCGGCTCTGGCCCACTTCTGTGTTCTCCCTGGTACAACATGCCTTTTCCCTGTCGGTCATCAAGTCACGCTCGCGTCCGTGCTTTCGTCTTCATCCGCAGGTTCTTGGTCGTGAAACGTTTGCTGTTGCACGTTGCTGTTTGGTTGGTGGAAGGAAGTTGCTTCAGCATCTTCTCTGTTTGCTTTTGCAGTGTCCCAACGTTCCAGAGCCTTCCTGAAGAGATCCTCAGTAAGCTTGCTGATGTCCTCGAAGAGGTAATTGTTTTTAAGCCCTTGAACTTTGTGGTTGGGACATAGCCCAGCACAGCAGCGTGATGACGGGTCACCCACGGCAGAGAGACCCTGAAAGAGCTTTCAGCCCTGGGGTGAGCAGTGTACGTGGCATTGAATAAAAGCCAGCTCAGCACACCTGTCATTTATACGCAGTTAGAAAGGTGCAAATCGACTTAGCGACTGAGGGAGGAAAACCCCATTGTGGCAAATAGGATGTTTCCTTTGACTTCCAAGAATGGGAGATGGCGAATTTCTCTCTTCTTTCGGTCCGTGTAAAGCAAGATTTCAGTAGCTACCCCTCAGAAGCTTCAGATGAGCAAATTTACAACAGGTATATGTTTTATTAGCATATGAGTATGTATGCACCAGTGCAAAAATGTCGCTAATATTCGTATTCTCTGAAGCTGTGAAGCCCAGGGAATGGTACCACAGGGCCCACTAGGTTTGCAGCTTCCTGACTGGCCAGGGAAGGATAGGGTCTCTGCAGAGACAGCGAAGGAGGGGGCCCGTGCAGGAGCACAGGGTGATGGGGGTGAGAGGAGCTGGGGGACACCTGCTCTGGTATCTTCTGCTTCCCCAGGGATCCCGAAAGCAGGGTCACCGGCTGAGGATGAAGAACGGGCGGAGGTATGGGAGGTTCGGGGACAGAGGAGGAGGCAGGACAGACGTGGAGGCGTGGATGAGCTGGGAAAACACAGCGTGACCGCCAGGTGCCCTGCCACCCCACTTGACGTTAGCCGTCCCAAATCTAAATTAAACAGGCGAGGAAGAGTTGATCGAAGACTTGTGACAGGGGGCACAGATCAGGCTCAACCCTGCTGGAACAGGAGGTGGCAGATTTTTAAGTACTGGGCTGAGCTAGTGGAGAATAAGGGAGGGGGAGGGAAAAGTCCTCCTGGGGTAGGAGGCCGGCCAGTGTGATGAGGTCCTTGGAGTCGGCCCATCGTCCCTTCCAGAAGCCGGGCTCCTGCCCTCCCACAGACACGCGGGTGTGGGTACTGGGCCAAGAACAAGGAGGGGTGAGGAGAGAATATGGAGCTGAGGTGCAGGTTCAGAAAGGACGGTGGCTCTGGCCCCGGGATGTGGCCAGCGCGAGGATGGGAGGTGTGTGCGGAGGAGCGGGGCCAGCTGGAGATGGTGGCATCGGGGGGGTGTGAGTCTCAGGAGCGCTGAGCAATTGTCAGAGTTGTGCGCGAGCAGGGGTGACTTGGAAAGATGCCGAAGATGGTTTTCTCTCCGGGCCCCACCCCCACCCCCGCCCATCCCGGCCCTTCAAGGATCCGTAGAAGCCCAGAGGTTCCTCTACACGAATTCTAGCTCCTGGCCTATGGGAAAGAGCCCACCTACGATGCGCTGGTCTCCCTCACCTCCTGTGAAGGAAAGCAAAAGTCACATTGGGTAACCAGGTTCAAGTGGACGGAATTCACGAGAAAAAAACAGGGGTTGCGCTTCTCCCTGAACGCCCTGACCCCGGTGCCTGTAGCCTCTTGGGATGCAAAACCGCTCTCCCTGGCCCTTTTGGTTTTTCCTTTCCTCGCTGAATACACGCAGAAGAGCTCTCTGATGCCCTTTTCTGTTTTTCACCAAAGCAAACTAAAAGTACAGACTTGACTAGTCCCAATCAAGCCCTGCAAAAAAATCCTTTAATCACGTTCTTTCTTTGCCACAGCTGTGGGAGGATTTGTATGCTCTGCAAGACAATGGCGAGAGCTCTGTAACCATTCTGACCGAAGAAAGATTTTCGCCTTTTAGGTCAGATTTCCTAATCGGCAGGTGCCTTAATGGACGTTTGGATGGTGTGAGCCACAGTGCATCCTATAGGGATGCTGCAGGGGAAGGGACACGCGTGCATTTGTTTTGAAGCAAGGCGCCCACGTATTTGTTTTGAGGACACGAAAGTGAAGTAAACAAACAAAATGCAAAGTAGACCTCTGAATAGACCACGCGGTGCGCGTAAGTATTCGACTCAAGTTGCATAAGCAAGTACAGTGAGACGTTAGATGCAATTATGGATCAGATAGAGTGAGCAAATTGGGAAGAACAAAAGCAACGGTAATGTCACATCACGTTAATGGGAATGTGCTTGCATAGTAATGGAGCTGTCTTTCTTTCTGCAAGTGTCCACAAGATGAAAGAAGGCCAGATCCTCCTGAAAGGACAGCGGTATTATTGTCGCGTTCAACAAAGAAGTGGCAGCCTTGTTTGTTGGGCAGATATTTGGGGAGCACCTGCCCCGTGCCAGGAATTGCTGTGGCTCTGGGGATCCGGGGCTGTGCTCCGGCAACGTTAAGTTCCAGCGGAGGCGACAGACGAGGCAAACGGTGCTGGGGATGAGGCCGCTCGGTATGGGGTTGCTGTAGGAGGACCTCCCTGGGGAGGTGAGGTTCATGCTGACATCCAAATCCAGATAGGAGATGCCCTGCATGCCGGGCAGAGCTGAGAGCAGACACAGGTCCTAAAGCAGGAGGAAGCTTCTTCCCCTTGAGGAACAGAAGGAAGGTTTATAGCAGGCTGACATGGGGCTGGAGGAAGTCAGGCAAGGCCTGTTGACAGTGGCTTTGCGGGCACGATGAGAACTTTGGTTTTTATTCTGAGCACGATGGGGAGACGTGGAGGGTTGGAAGCCGTGAAGGGGCACGTTCTGAGTTGTGTTTTAATCACCTCTGGCTGGCTGGTGGGTGAAGGGGGGTTGGAGTGGATCAGACTGCCGTCAGCCCAGTGAGGCTGGGCGTCCCTGTGCGCGCGTACTTTCTGGCTCTTGTTCCTTCTAGTCACTGTGAAACAATACTTCCAGTGTAAGGGGACAAAAAGAGTTCAAGAACGGGGACAGGGGACGCAGGGGCAGAGAGAGATAATGTGTCACAGATGGAAAGAGAAATGAAGTGGTTCAGGAGGGTCCGTGTGACTAAAGGACACGCAGGGGACACTTGGGGCATCCTCTCCTACAGGTGTAAAAGAAGCCTCTGTCCGAGCCATTTCTGCCACTGCCCCCCCAGCTTCCCCGCCCCTCAGTAATTTCTAGTGCGGACGTACATAGCCGCTTTTGTGTTCGTCCCTGTGAGATTCTATAACAGGAACTAGGACCCTTACTCTTTTCTTTTAAGTTCACTTATTTTGAGAGAGAGAGAGAGCTCAAGTGGGGGAGCCACAGAGAGAGAGGGAGAGAGAGAATCCCAAGCAGGCTCCATGATGTCAGCACAGAACCCAACGCAGGGGGGGTTCTCATGAACCGAGAGATCATGACATGAGCCGAAATCAAGAGTCAGATGCTTAAACTACTGAGATGCCCATGCGCCCCCTAATACTCTTTTTCTATGTATGGCAATTTAGTGACCCTTGCTTTTGTGTCTTTATATCATAGAGTAGAAAGATTTCCTTTGCATATTGAATCTCCCTTGCCTCCTTAGGGACATACAAAAGTTCTCTCTAGTTCCTTTCAGGAGGTGCGTGTAGGCGTAAGTTCTTGTCAGAAGACCTATCCGATGAAGCACACTGATCCCAACCTTTTCCCAGGCTGGGTTCTGCAAAGACATGTTGAAATAATCTGTGTGACTTTCTCATTGTTCAGCTTCATTATCAGTGCGGTATGCTTTTCCACGTCTGACTCCAACCAAGTCTTTCTACATATCAGAGAAGATTTCAGGTGCTCCCAGTTTGGTTTGCTAGAGAAGCCATTTTATTGTTGGTAAAATACATCAGAAGAGGCGTTTTTGGTGCGTGTAGTGAATAGCAACCTCAAACTTCAGAAACTGATTTCATTGGCCTCCATCCTATCCCATTCCTTTTATCAAAGCAAAAAGTGTCTATTTGAATTAATTAGTCAAGTGTTATGATCTATTCTGAGACTCTAGAAAACACCCAGGGGTAAAGGAAGAGAAGTGTGAAATTATAAGATAAGGTGTAATTTCTTCTTTATTACTATAACAATGAATGACACACACTTCCTTTTTCCTTCACATACACATGATTAGTCTTTGTGATGAATTACATTTTTCAAATGGATGGGGCAATTCCTAGCTAATCCCCAACTGAGAAATAGTTCACTTCAATGCTTACCTATCCAAGCACAGTGGGCAATAAACCCATATCTGACGTTCGTTCAAATATCAGGACTGTGGTGACATCTTTAAGGATATTGGCACACAAAAACATTTTCCGATAGAGAAGACGAGTAAGAATTAACCTGAAAGCCTATCGCAAAGCGTGTTCAAAAATTTGAGGAAGAGTTATGTTTTTGCCCTCACGGGCAAAACAGTTGAGAACTCAGGGAAAATTACTTCATGGAAAATGCCAGATTGAAGACCAAATTAAGCCAACAAATTCACTTTTCACCGCTTGGCATAGCATATTTTCCCTTTATGTGAATAGAAGTGGGGCATGGGTGCTATATTTAAATCCCTTGATTTTTAAATGGAAAATAAAGCATATCAAAACCACTTCTTTGCATTTATTGGAATCTGTTTCATGTCCAATTTGCTCATTAAAACATTGGATTTGTTCATCTTAGAATTAAAAATCCTCTTTGCTACATCAGCTTTGTAAAGCTCTTCACCTCTGGGTCAGCAACCTCACACGATTGCATCTTGGACACGCTTGAGCCTGAATAATGCTCGTTCTGCTCTGTGTCCCTAGATGGTCGATTGGTTTTTTATTTTGTTTTGTTGTTGGTATTTATACCATCGTGGTCCTGACAAACTCTTAAGATAAATAATATTCCTCGGACGTCTTGAATTAGGGAAAAGATGAGAAAGTAAAAATGGGGGAAAAAAGGCAAGGAGAAAATGTTTTTCAGATCCCCCATTACTTGATAATTTAGTAGGAGGCAAATACCAGATTATACCATCCAGAGAATATCGCTGGAGAAAGAGGCGAATGTACCAGATGCACTCCTTCTCGCTTCAAGGTCCAGCAGGTGTGAGTAAGTATGTCACTGTTCCTCGGTGGTACCCTGTCACATTGAGGTCTTCCCAAATCCCTCTGCA